TTCCTGTATCTTGAACCGTTTAGGAAATATGGTAAGTTAAAATGTGTAACTTTTGATTTTAATATCTCCGTTTCTACTTTGAATTGAAGTCGAACTTTATGGTCAAAATAGGGTTAATTTAGAACTATATTGCAAAAGAGCTTTTCTGTATTTTGAGACCTATAGGAGATATCGAAGGTTAAATATGCTATCGATGAGGTTCGCTTATAACTTCCATTTATCTCAAGAGCGCTTCTCGGGAACATTCCGTTCGAAAGGTTAGTCCGCGAAAAAAAGTTTCTTGCGATCTGAGGCCGCTGTTGTTTAAAGTTAAATTGCAGCAACAGTATTGTTATCGGTCAACCCTGAGACCGGCTGCTAACATCCATTTATGACGCCTGCCGCGCCTTTGCGATTACCGATAAATTCAGTTTTCTTGATTGGTCGCGCGATTTCAAGTGGCCATAATATATGGCGAGAATACATGGCAATATATGGGAATAATATATGGTAATAATACACGACACCAATATATGGCAACAATATATGGCAACAATATGTGGCAACAATATATCGCAATAATATAGGACAATAATTCATGGAATATATTTTTCGTTACAAGAGTCAATGCAAATTTGCGGCATGCACAATGTAATAATAAAAGTAATAATAAAAGTTCTTTCTGCGAGCTTTGAGTCAGACACTCACCAATGATGATATTGATGATGTCCTGTTGCATCCAACCAGATCCACCAATGTCCGTCCATGTCCGCTGCCGCTCTCCATGTCGCGCAACATCCATCTTGCAGCTTGTCCCACGGTGATCGCTACACTTTCATCACACTTCCGCGACGCGGTCGATATGCGGTATTAGAACGGCGATATTTACATCAATTAACGAACGTTTTACTCGCCATCAGTGGAAACTTTTTGCGCGCTGCGAAACGGACTCTATAAACTCGATCGGCGAGGAGTAAGAACCGTGTGAAAATTTATTGACTCGTCCAACGGATTTTTACGGTGCTTTTCGCGATTGCGTCTGAAAAGTCGCGAAAATGTGGGATTATCGATATCTACGAGTGAAATATTCGCGACGCGAATGCACGCGAGGAAAGATTAGACAATCAGAAACCGGCCCCCCTTAGGGAGCGCAAAGAGAGAGGAGCGGGGCAAAGTTTTCACGCATTATAGCTCTGTCACGACGAAGCTTACGTTCGCGATACTTTGGCGAAATGAGAATTTAAGTTTTCTTTGTTAGCAAGGCGAGTAAAAACGCGTATATTGACAACCGCGGTCGCGAGGCACGCGAGCGAGGATACCTCAAGCTCGGCGTGCGCTGGCGCAACTTCTACGCGCATTATACGCTACTCGAGACAATAGGGATTGTGATGAATGGACAAATATTGCCAAATATTGCCAAATATTGCCAAATAATTCTGCAGCCTGTTTTGCAAATAAAAGAAAAGTAGCTAACGATATCGGCATTTAGGTATGAATATATTTTATACGGACAATTGAATATTGTCAAATAATTAAATCGTTAAGTAATTCTGCGGCCCGCTTGAAAAATAAAAATAAAGAAGCTGATGTCGGTGTCGCGTTTGTACATATGAATATTCTCTTATTCAGATGACTGAACATCAAAAGAGAATCATTCAGTATTTTAAATCTTGTATGTAATGCAGGCTATCGATCAAGTAATCCCCTGATTGTTTCGAGCAATATTTTATTCAACGTCACAAATACACACATGCAAGTATCTATTTGCAATTCGCATTGACTCGAACGATATTTTTTAGTCCCACATCCGTCATGCAGAATTTTGTTTCTCTTTTTTTCATTTTGACTCTTTTTTTCATTTTGACTCACCGAAACGACTTGCAGTCAGAGCCGGCCACGTTCCGCTTCAACTCTGTAACAAAAAATTCACATTTGCTCATCAGATTTGACCAACGAGTGCGGGCGAGTAAAAGAGTAGTTTACCCTCTGCGATCGTAATTCAAGTCGAGCCGGAAATTATATCCCAGCTCTAGATCACCAAGGGTCAAACAGAGGACTATAGTAAACTTGTAAACTTACCTTCAAGCCGACTCTGCTTCGCCCGAACCGGATCCTCCGGTGCGGCATCCGCGTCCACCGGATTGCTGTTGCTTTCCGCAACAACTGAAACAGAAAAATAATTTTCCCGGTTGATAACCTGCGGTAGAGAGAGAATATCTTTGATCGGAACCGATCGAAAATACGGATATATTTTGATACGGAATTTTTATCTTTATATTTTTGTTCCAACATTGAAAATTTAAATGGGACTTGAAGCTTTCAAGAGAGCTGATGAGGAAGAAGTTACAAAGGCAAAGATCGTAAAGAGTTGAACACAGATGTGTAGAAAACTTGTAAACTTTACCTTCCGGCCGACTCTGCTCTGCCCGAACCGGATCCTCCGGTGCGGCATCCGCGTCCTCCGGACTTGCTTCCCGCAACGTCTGGAACAAAAATTTAGCGTTCTTGGTTGGTAAGCTGCGGTTGAGAAAAAATGGTTGGTCGGGATGAGTGGAGAATATTCGCTACGATTTTTTTTCTTTATTGACATTGAATGTCTAGATAGGAGCTCTTGAAAGAACTGACGAAAGAAAATGACAATAAGAAGCGAAGACAACAGTTGTGTGCTCTCGAAAATATTCTTTTACGGATGGACATTTAAATTCAGATCCCGTAACAAGAGTAAACAAACTTGAAAGAAGCGCTGACCGAAAACAAAAAAGGTCGCAGTCTAAGAAGCGATATGACTATTGAATATTCTACACAAGACCAATATTCTCACACAGGAATTGGGAATGATTCAGAATGTTTGATTGAGAACATGATGAATTCGAGATCCACGTTCATGGACCGTTATCCGTCTCTGTCTGGATCAATATCTTTTATATACAACAACGCAATAAATAGATAGACAGACAGAGATTGACGAGAGTAATTGCAAATTCATAAAGTGATGATTACTAGTCGGATGATGACGGATTGTGAATGCCGAGCGTGAAATTCCGACTTCTTATTTCCGGAAAATTCGTCAAACGTACGCTCTCGTTATCGGAGACCTCCCGCGTAATAAATGATTCCACATACCTGGAAACGTGACGTATCGCTGCCGGCGTTCTGCTTCTCGACTGCTAAAGTCCTCCGGATTTCACTCGCTCACACTTCTAATGCTGATATTCGCGATTCGACCGTGGAGTTATTGAATGAGATGCCGACGCGATGCCGATTGAGTATCTCGAGGACCGACGAGATATATTTCTTTTAATTACACGAGACGGAAGTGACGAGAGCGTCGCGCACGGCTGCTGCTGATGGAATGAGGTCGAATACATGAGGCGCGCGAGTATTATAATACGAAGGGCAAAAAGTGTCGTCGTTCGCGAGCCGATCAACACAATCGGCGCGATGTAAACATTGGCGGGCCTCGGCGGCGGTTGAAGCAAGAGAGACTTACCTTTGAGCATCTCTTGTTTTCTCGAAGGTTTCGGAACGACGAGGGGAATGCGAGGAGGCCTTTCAACTGTACGCGATATTGATGCACTCTATTTATTGATTACTGAAAATAAAGAAAATTACTCTGTCGAAGCATCGGACATTTGTTAGCTTTATGTTAATTAAAGAGGAATGTATACGATTAGAAAATGTGTTAGCAACTAATTGTACAAAGTGTAAGTTGTTGTGACGCCGTTTTCAGACAATAATTAAAGGTCATGGTAGCGTTAAAGAATGGAATTTCATCCTATGCGAATTTAGTCGCGCTCTTATTAAATATTAGTCCTGTATAAAATGTCGTATTTAAAAGTATTGTTTCGCATTCACGAGATTTTGTCGTGAATTCTGCTCTCAGATTGGATCGCGGGTGAATACTTTTTAATGCGACGGGGAATAGAACGTGAAAATCTTGTATGCCTCTGAATCCGAAAACGATTAGGAGAAGAAGTGAATATTTTTCAATACGAAAGTTCGCATTTAAAAATTATCGATTGCGATTGAATACAAGGCATATTTGAAACGAATTGAATCCTTGTTAATGCGAAGCATTCACTACTGCCATCTCGCATTTAGCGCGGTGAAATTTAATGGGAACTAATACTTTTTATTTTCCCTTTCTTCGGATCAGAAAGCAGAATTCAGACGTATTCAAAATGTCAATACTTTTTAATATGTTTCAGTTCGACATTTTATACAGGGAGATTATCCGCTGCGGGCAATAACTCTTCTACTTTTCATTTAATATTCAATGATGATAAATAACATTTAATTGCATTCGTTTGGCTTTTTTTATTTCGAAAATAAGAAAATATATACCGGGGTGAGATTTTACCAATGACAACATTAACGTGATTTTCTTTGATGCTTTTTTTAAAAGTTCAAATATTTCGTCGACTCGCGGGATATTTATAATCGGAGTCTCGTCACGTTAATTACGTGAATAACACGTGCTCCTCCGAGCGGATCGAATGCTCACCGACGGCCACTGTCAGTGCCACGAGCGAATGTCCGGAGCGGACGGGATGCTGAATTAAAAAACAAGACGAAGTGAACGGGACGCGGACAACGATACATCATGCGTCTCCATGCATGTCAAATTGTTTATTATAGAAGAGACTTTGATACGGCAATATATATTCGAAGATTTAACATTTAATACGTACTTTTATTTTTTCTGCTCCTCCCCCCCTCTCTCCCGCTCTTTTTAGACCACACGGGCATAGTCTGGCATAGAGATGGCAACTGTCATTGCAGCACGGACATAAACCGTCTGAAAGTGGATATAGCATGGACTTCCACCATATGCAGATTTTACCACCGAGACCTGAAAGTTGATGTACTATCGTAGTTCCCCTCTCAAAATGGATGCAGATGGCGTCCTTTCCCAGTGCGGAAAGTCGGTGTCGCAGAAAATGTCGTATTGGCCGCTCTCAGGTTACTCTCTGGTTTTCAGTAACAAATAGATTCATTTGATAATTAATACCAGCAGAGAGAAACCTGAAAGCGGCCAACACGGCATTTTCTGCGACACCGACTTTCCGCACTGGGAAAGGTCGCCATCTGCATCCATTTTGAGAGGGGAACTACGATGCAACATCCACTTTCGTTTCTCTCTGTTAATACAGGTCGGAAATGACAAACTTTTGAGAGAGACTGTAGTTGTCACGTGATTAAACCTGCTATGGCACATTACTGACGTGTCGTGTGCTTGATTTGACATGGCTGTTTTTTGACATTTGTCAAACGTAATAGATTCGTAACTTTTTTAGGAAATAAATCCATGATGAGCGAGAAAAGCATCAACTCTGCTTTAGTACGAAGAGTTAATAAATTGTTGGAATCCAGAGTGGAACATGATAAGGTTTGTCATAAACAAATCGCTTATGTGTGCCAGTTTCATTTTGCGAATAATTCGATATATGTCGGCTATTAAATAATTATAATATTAATCATGTATTAATTATAATAGGTATATATAATAAATATTATATGTAGTTATCAAATTTTATATAATCTAATTTATCAAAATTTATATAATGTAAGACACATTTTAGGACACATTGGAAGCTTTGAAAGAATTGTCGACGTTCTTCACTGAAAATACGTTAAATTCTCGCCGCAATTTGCGTAGTAAAATAGAAAGAAGAAGTTTAGCAATAAATGAAGAATTTCTGGCTGCCTTTAAAGAGGTAAAGGCTTCTTTGGATGATGTTTATCAAGATGTTTTAGCCATGAACACGGCTGTACAGTCTATGACGAATCGTTTGCAAGCTACAAAAGCTCAAACATCCCAACTTATAGAACATACAACAAAGCTCCAGAATGAAAAGTAAGAAAAAATTTGTATACAGGAACATACAATTGTGATATCAGAATGACTTATCATTTGCTTTTACCATTAGCCAAACATTATCGATGCAACAGGAAGTTGCAAATGCATTTATTAAGAACTTTCATCTAACTACCTCTGAATTGGCTATCTTGCATGGCTCAGCCAGAGAGTCTCCTATAACGGAGGAATTTTTCTCTATAGTTAATAAAGTACAGGTAGAACATTACAAGTTATTTTTCTTTAATAAGTCTAATTATATTTGATATTGTTTAACTTTGTCTACATGGTATAATGCAGGATATTCACAGTAAATGTAGAGTGTTGATGCAGTCTGGATATCAGACATTGGCACTGGATATAATGCAGAGAATGACACTGTTGCAAGAAGCTGCGCTAGAGAGACTTTACCGATGGACACAGACTCAATGCAAGAACATAGAAAATGAACGTTTGGCACCATTACTTATTAAGGCTATGAGCAAACTACAAGATAGGCCAGTGTTATTTAAGTAAGACCCTTGATATTTTGCTGCAAGCTTTATTTTTAAATAATCACGTATTTATCTCTTATAAATTAATATATATTTTTCTTCCAGGTACATTTTAGATGAATACTGCGCAGCCAGAAGAACCGCCTTGATGGGATCTTTTATAGACGCGTTAACATTAGGTGAGGGTTTCGGCGGGACACCCAATCCCATAGAGATGCATGCCAATGATCCCAAGCGATACGTCGGCGATATGCTCGCTTGGCTGCATCAAGCGATTCCTGTGGAAAAGGAGAATATTCTCACTTTAGTGAAAAGCTGCAACAAGACTGGTGAGAAGTTGTTTCCTTTGAGTTAACAAAACGCGTCACGTTCAGACGTTCAAATGTATTATTAACCTCTCGTAGATGTGTCGGATCAAGTGAAACAGGCGTTGAGTAACATCACCGAGAGTTTATGCCATCCTTTGAAGTCGAGAATAGAACACGTCATATCCACAGAAGCGCCAGCGACGGTATTGTACTCCGTCACAACCTTGATTAGATTTTACCGTGCCATCACTGAACAGGTGATACCCGACAGTGTCTTGGATCTCACGCTCTTAGATCTACTAGCTCAGAGTGAAAAGAGTTTCCTCAGTAGACTTCAGAGAGAAACGAGGATCGCTCTCGGCGAGCGTGCGGAACCTCCGGGAAACGATTTGGTGCCTGCACCATCCGTCTCTAGATTGCTGTCGCTGCTGAACGAGATATTGTCTGTGGCTAGCATCGCTGAAGACAGGGAAAGAGATATGCTGCAGGTATGTTTAACGGAAACATTTTATTGTACTTTATTCTTACATTTACCATGCATTATTTTCTGATCTTCGACAGATCGTGTCGTGCATCATCGACCCGTTACTCCAAGAGGTCAACGAGACTGCGTCGAGGTTGCCAACGGTGGACATGGCTGTCTATCTTCTCAACTGCATGCATCAGATACAATCCACTTTGGCGTTATACGAATACATGGACCAGAGATTAGAAAGGTTACAGGTGATTGGTTAGTTTTTATCAAAGTCGGACGCGATCGTGATATACCGATGCGCTATTTCCGCCGCTTCGCACTTGCATCCCTTGGTATCTGCTTAGAAATTTCTCGATAACTGACGCCGACTACCGTTGCAATCCACCGTTACGATTTTTCAGGCGCAATCGGACGCGCAAATCGACACGCTTACGTCGGAACAAGCTAGTTCTTTGGTGGCACACTTGAATTTGGGCTCGATGTACACCATTCTACAAGGTCGCGAGCAGGGACCACTGTCGTCCATACCCGGCATGGATGCCCTCAGTGTGAAGGAATTCACTGTAAGTGACTCGTCTGGTCCGAATCGAGACGTGTCATAATTGCTCGCGTCGCTTCTTTGCAGAACAAACTAGAGGCGTTCGTGGTGATGCCGGACGTTCTACTGTTGCCACAGATAAGTTTGCTGCAGAGTAACAATCATCGGTTAGTCACTCAGAGAAGATCGTTCGAGGTGATCGGAGCCATATACAGGCAGTTGTACGATGCCTGCCACGATCCAAAGAACTTGTATCAAAACGCTGGCAGTCTCTTTTCCAGGACGCCCGAGGAACTACTGCATATGCTGATTTCCCAATAACCGCGTGTTCCACGAGCTTCCATTTAGACATTATATATCATGAATAATGTACATAGCTAAATAATACAACGAACGTATCAAAAGGATAACACATGTCCGTCTATGGGTAGGATCCATTAGACACCAGAGCACTCCAGCTACTTCATAACAACGTCATTAATTCCTGTATGGGAAATCTCGACCGAACAAATCTGAATCGAATCCCTCACTCCGTCGACGAACGCGATTGGCGCGTTCGATTGGCGAGCGCAGGTGACTAGGCGGCCGTGATTGGTCGCGCGCTGTAACGTCATCGACAACGCGAGAGACCTGCGCGCACGCGCCTTGCGCGGCGATTGGCCCGGCCGCCCGAAGTCAGTCGACAGTCCGGTGCGGTGGAATGTGGTTGTGTTCGCATTTTGTCCGCGAGCGCCGCGCATCTTTCATTCATCCACCTGTGTGGTAGTGCGCGACGGCTCGATCGTCGGCGGCGGTGGCAACCTCCTGGTCTTAGCGTCGTCGCCGACATCGTCCACCGTAGACGACGGTGGTGTCGCTCAGACGGTATCCCCGCGCGGACGCTCGGTGGACGGAGAAGCTCTCGCTGACGCGACGCGCGCGACGCGACGCGCGTTCCTTCGGACATCGCATCCTTAGCACGCGCGAAATGTCGCGGCGCCGTACGGCGGCGAGCACGGCGCCGACGCGGAGCACGCAGTGAAAATATCATTCCGGCGCGCGATCAAACGCACCATGGACCACCACCTCTCCTGCCGGCCACGACGCGCACAAAGGACGGATAGAAAGCAGTGAGTGAGTGAGTGGAAGCAGCGTATACGAGAGTGCGGGAGCAAGATGGCGGAATCGAACTATTATCAGGTGAGTTTCGCGGCTCCCATCATCGTCATCCGTCCATCGAGAGAGGCGGATGTACGCTCTCTTCGCGAGCTGCCGCTCGGCGTCGCCTCGACGGACCCCTGGGTCCCTGGGTCCCCGACGGGCGCCATAATATATCGCGCGTCTCTCCCGGTAGACGCGACGCGTTCGCGACGTTTCCGTTGTCCCTGAACGTTCCCACCTTTCCGCCTCCGTCCTGCTCTCGCTCGCATGTTCGTCCGTTCGCTCGCTCGCTCGCTCGCTCGCTCGCTCACTCACTCACTCGTTCGTTCGTTCGTTCATTCGTTCGTTTGTCCGTTTGCTCGTGACGTACGTGCACTTGTACCCCGGGGCCCGACAGCAGGCTCTTTCCCGTCGGAGCACGACGGCGGGACCGACGCGGTTTTCGTGGGTCGCGACGAGCGTGCGGCGAGCGAGCGAGCGCTCTCGGTCGCGCTAAACCAGGCGTGACGGCTTGGTCGTGCACACCTGATATGCATCCGATTTCTTACCTACCTACCTACCTGCCTGTCTGCCATGTATTGGTCCCACTCTTGGCCTGCACCGACGACCGTCTGGGTTAATTGACTCCGCTCGACGAGCCGCGCTCGCTCGTTCGCCCCCTTCTTCCGCAGACTATGTCTACGCTGTTTACCGCGTAGAGCATACCGAGAAAACGCACTCGGCGACGGTTAGCCGACCGGCTGGTACAACCAGCATCCAGTTGCACAGACCATGTCGCTTAATTGACTTCGCTTAGCGGTAGCTTCTTAGATTACGGGCCCGACGTCGACGAGAAAGCAAGAGAGAAAAGAGAGAGGGAGTCGGAGGGAGAGGGAGAGAGAGAGAGGGAGAGAGAGAGAGAGAGAGAGAGAAAGAAAAGGAGAGCTAACAAGGTACGATCCGGCCGGCCCGTTTGCTCGATTCCCATGTCCGACTTGGCTCTCATGATTCTGCGGTGTAATTTTGAGAAGAGCGAACTCCCGGCCGCTGGAGCGCCGCGCGAGTAAACACCTCCGCGCGGCGGCGGCGGCGGCGGCCCGCGGCGTCGAAACTCCGACTCGTCGAAACGATACCGGTTTCACTCCCGGTGTTGTTGTCGTTTTACGAAGCCCGGCGTTAATCGGCGTCTCGGTGTAACCGGTCTCTCGGCCCGACTTTCCGCTCGGTCCTGGGCGTCGGGCATCCCGGTAACACCTGCCTGCTGCCCCTCAGCCGGCGATTATCGGCGGGACGCGACGGGAGATCCGCGGGGATCCGTCCGAAGAGCGATCGTCCTGTGGCGTCGCGAAATGGATCATCGGCCGATGAGAGCGTCGTTGCGTGTCGTTACGAGCGTGTGGCGGTGTGCTGTCACAGGTCGGAATCCGCTGACGATACGTCATCGTGCGGCCGGGCGATCGGCAGCTGACACTCCACCGCGTCCCTCCCTCCGCTCCCCTCTCGCCGAACCTTCGCGTTTCCGTGGCCTGTTTACGGTAAAGAGATTCGGGCGCGCGCGAACACCTTCCGTCGACACCGGCGGACAGCGGCTCTCTGTCACCTGTTCTGCGACTTCCGCGATGAGAACCGAGAGAGTTATCGTTACATATTGTCGTTGCGCAGGTACAATGCATGGCGGAAAAGATGCGCAGCGTCGACGTAGCGATAGCACACATTCGTCGTCGAAAGTTACAGAACACGCCTACGGATACCTCCGTCCGCCAGATCCGGCCGATAGACTTGACGTCATCTACGTGACAACTGCGAGGAGGATACGCATCGTCCATTTTTTCCTTCTCTTTCCCGCAGCGTCTCCGTTCGGCAGAATCGCGTAACATTGCGGAAGAGCACACTTGATCTTTCGCGGAACGCCCGACGACCCGGATTGATTTGTCCCATTCTCGGCTTCGACGTGCGTTAATTGCTCGATAGCGGATTGACGTCGGGTAAGATAATTCGATGTTATCGCGGCGTTACGCGATTTTGCCAGATCCGACTTGACGTCACGACTCGCGCTCGCTCCTTCTCTCTCTCTCTCTCTCTCTCTCTCTCTCTCTCTCGCTCGTGCATTAAAAAACAATTCTCCATTGCGGGCGCAGAGATAGACATGAATCAGAGAACGCGTTCATTTATTCGTTTCCTGACGTGCGTAATCGTTCAGCCGCAAAGGGTTCGCGTCATGTCTGTCAACCTGCCGGGATTATTGATTCGCACCGCGCCGCGCGATGCGAATATCGCTGCAAATGAAAATGCGTGAAAATAGATCGCACGTCGCTGTGCGTGTACGCGTGCATGAGCGCGCGCGTACATTTTCCCCGGGCCCCTCTCTCCCTCTCTCTCTCTTGCGCGCGCTCCCACGGCGCTCTAAATTAATATATCTAGACGTACTTTCATTCTCCGCGAAGAGAGACGGTCCCGAGGATCTCTCTCTCTCTCTCTCTCTCTCTCTCTCTCTCTCTCTCTCTCTCTCTCTCTCTCTCTCTCTCTCTCTCTCTCGTCATTTCCTGCGCTCCTCCGCTTGGCAACGCGCTTTAGCATCAGCTGCGCGGGGATATCGGATTTACGTAATTCACGCGCGGCCGATTCGTGAATGAGACATCGTTCGCGAGATCTCGTGCGCGGCGACTTTGAAGCGCGTTAACGCTCCAGCAGTCACTCGACGCCGCTTATCGCACGGTAGTTCCGACGAATGCAGATAACATCGGTTACGTTGGCGCACTTGTCCCTCTCCGCCAGCTCCCCTCCGCTGAAATTGAGTCCCTCGCGCGGTCGCGCGAGGGAAAAGGAGAGAAAAAGGGGCACGATCGTGCGGAAAGTTGCACGAAGCGGGAGGTCAATCGTTATCTGCACACGGCCGGGGCCCCTCTTCCGGCTGTCGTTCTTCGAGTCGTGATGAATCGCGCAAATCACGATCGAGAGAGCTCCGCGTAAACACGCGTGTGTCCTTTAAGCAGGAGCCTCTGAGGAGGAGCCCCTTGCTGTTTCGCGCGAATGCGGCGAACGTGACGAACGGGGTTTGAGAGTCACTGTTATCGGGATCGCTGATAAGAGATAACGCCACCGGCACTGTCTCTCTTCTTAGCTGTATTACCGATGCTCAAATTCACGAAGGTGTTCCACACGTCTCGCGCTCGCGACATGGTGAAGACGCGTGCGCTCGTCGTTGTGTTTTGCAAGTGTCGCGATAACGCGGAAACAGCAGAGCAATAGAGAGAGAGAGAGAGAGAGAGAGAGAGAGAGAGAGAGAGAGAGAGAGAGAGAGAGAGAGAGAGAGGAGAAATCTCGCGGTCAGCGGAGATGTGAACAGCCGATATCGTAGATTTTCGCCGGCAACAGGTGGTTGACGTTTACCTGCGCGCAGTTGCAGGCCCCGGAGATTACCGCTCCGCTCCGACAGTGATTCAGGTGGTGATTAACCGCGCGCGCGCGCGGTGGTTTGTCTTGTTTGCTTGTTGTTCGACGTGTTGAATTTTAGTGGCGTGACGTGTTATTAGAAACGATTATCTCCCTCCGCGAGATGTGAGTCTCTCGCCGCCGCCGCCGCCGCCGCCGCCGCTGCCTCGACAACGACGACGACGACGACGACGACGACGACAACAACAACAACAACGACGACGATCCGAACAGTGACCAACGGTGACGCGCGCTTTGAGAGAACAACGATAGCGTCGTGCGAGCCTCTGTCTAGGCCGTGAAAGTCGTCTCGCGCGCGCGGCCACGGGAACAATGTCGTTCATCAGCGTGGGCAGAGCGAAGGGGAAATCGACGAGCACGATCAAATGCGTGCCGTTGGCCAAAGTGTCCAGCTCGAAGTACTTCCGGGCTTGCATCGCGCCCTGCGCGGTATGTCGTATTAGCGCATCGTTTTAGTCATTAGTAATTTCGTCGTTAGTCATTTCTGGCCGTAGTCTCGGGTCTCTTCGCGACACGGGCGTCCTTCAAGAATTCTCGCGACACCGGGGTATTGTATTCTGCGCAAGAACGAGACTTTGTGTCTTTGAACGTCGGTATCTGTCAACGAGTAATGCGTTTATCTCTGAGCACGCTAAGAATTTTCAATTAACTCGCAAGTATGTAATTTCTTTTTTGCCTGCTCGTGTGATGTCGTCTCTGAATGGTAGTGTATTATGTTTCTTTCTATTTTTCTTTCTTCTGTGCAAAAGGAACATTTTCTCCTTGTACTTGATGCTGATACGATGCAAAGATGAGTGCTACGGGTAAAGTGTGCGTTGGCCACGTTTGGAATTGTTTAAGGACGCTCGGAATCGTTTAAAGACCCAAGCAGGATCGGAAGTTCAAGGACGATAAGAAATTGATAGATTAGCATGCGAAATCGAGCCCTCTGCGCGACTTCTCCACGACGCACAGTGTTGCAGGAATCGCTAAACGTGGCCAAAATAGGAAAAAATGAAGAACGAAATTTTCGGTTCCCGTTTTCAATATATTTTCTAAAAGGTCCAAATTAATAAGTTGTAGTAACATTTTGATGAAATCCATTTGTATCACGGAGATAAGTGAATTCAAATGTACACGTGATGCGAAGTAAAGAATAGCTGGGTTATAACCCTCCAAATGATATAACTGATTTTGCGTTGAAACAATTTTTTATCATGAAAATGACGTTTCCTGTTTAATATCTCATCTATGTAGTTTTATTTCCAATAAAGAGTATATTAGAAAGTATATGCAATAAAAATTAGATTTACAGGTCTCACTTTTTATATATAGTTAATCATTTATATCGTGATATATAAAAATTGCATCATTTCGCACCATGTTGTACCTTTGTGAAAATAAAGATAAAATATCTATTAATCCTTATGCAAAGGTAGAAAGAGCGATATCTAGCGCTTACAAAAATATGATAAATTTCATGAGCAGAATTCGACATTCAGTGCGCTTACGGTCAGACGCTCTACTGCAGATAATATTGTTCAACACAAAAATTATATTCTCTATCCAAATCTTTTATTCTAGTTAATTTTGTTAATATTAAATACAAATATAATAATTAATAATAATGTTTAAGCTCTAATTAAATAATGTAGTAAACAATAGCAAAAATAAAGACTGTAGAGATATGAGAGAGTATCGTACAAGAAAAAACTCGACAATTGCGACGAATGAAGATTTATTTAAAAGACTTCTTCTTTCCTCAGATCCGATCATTTCATCTTTAAAAAAAGTTTCAAATAAAAAAGCCGATCCCTTCCCTAAAGAAGTTATTGAATTGCTTGCAAATCCAATTGTAGCAAATGCAGTTTCGGATAACGAATAGTTTTATAAAATATTTTGTTTGGTTGATTGTTATATAAAATAAAAAACAGAGATAAAAATTAAAAAAAAATAAAAGACAAACAGAAACAAAAAATTTTTTAAATAAAAAAGTAAAAAATAAAATAATAATATTAAAAAACATGTTATTTTAGTGATAAAATACTAGTATTTACAATATAATATGCTTTTCATTCAACTATAATACATTATAGCGACAATATGATTTATGGCCACTATTTGGAGATTTCGCAACACTGTACGATGTTTTGTTTCTTGCGTCCCGTATCATATTCATCGTCGAGAATCACCTTCCTCGCGTCACGCTCGAAATAGGTGACACGGCGTCCGTTGTAGCAGCTGATCGAACATCTCTCGTGAATGTTTCAATATCCCAACTATCATAATCGAATCACGACTCCCATGACTCCCCAATGACGGGTTATCGACGTTGGTTCGCCAGCGATAGATGATGCGCTCTCCCTCTTTCTCTCTCTCTCTCTCTCTCTCTCTCTCTCTCTCTCTCTCTCTCTCTCTCTCTCTCTCTCTCTCTCTCTCTCTCTCTCGCCGACACACGAGATCGATACTTTCCCCTTTCGCGTGTTTTGTCTAGCGTTTGTATCCGCGTGTATCTCACTCTGTCGAGCAGACGCACAGAACGCGCGCACATCCCGTGTGTGCATCCGTGTGTTGCGCGGCGCGCCAGACGGTTTCCGATTGCCGAGTATTTCGCGATGTTTCGTCGGTCTGGCTGAATACCTCCTCACCGTCGCGTCGATATTTACAGTGCAATTTCCGCCGGGTTGTTATCTCAAGCTTGAGGCGCGCCAGTGCGAGGTCTCCTCGCTCGATCATTCGCGGGGATCGGAAGAGCGGCTTACGCGTGACGCCGAGAGACGATCGTTCACAAATGGTCGATGTGAGATCCAGAACGGCGGTATCGCTCGTTAACCTTTAGAGGATCGGCATTTTTCCTTTAAAATTTACAATTTTTTTCGCGGAAAATGTGTATATATATATGTAACCATCATGTCGCGTAGAGTTTTCGAGTTTGTTAGTGGCTCCTATAGAAGCCACCCCGGTCCTCTAAAGGTTAATCGTTAGTTGTGCTCTCGCCAGATCGCCGCGTTGCGATTGTCTCAGGCAAATATACCCGATGAGAAAGAAAGAATCGACGAAGCGCGGGTAGATTCGTCGCGTGCGCGAGAGTATGCCGAAGTTGAAATCTCAGCTCACCCCGCCGCCGACCAGCGTCGAGCGAGGAAGTAATTCAAATTAATTAAAAGATGAGCAATCGTCCTTATCGCCCGCTCGCTCGCCGCCGATATCTTCGGCCGCCACGTCACGCACATAGTCAATAACGTCAATCGTCAATGACGTATTCGCTGTTTGTTTCAGGGCGATAACATCAGGCACCCAGTTCTTTACGAACTGTCCAGCAAGTATGGAGTGGCCAGCAGCGACCAGGTGCCCTTGCCGGTCCGTCTCGATGTGCTTCGGGAGCACATACGCCGAGAAATACGCAAGGTATGCTGAGTTTCGTTCCGAAGCGTGCGGCTTCTCCGAAGCTCCGTTTTTCTCCTCGCGCTCTTTTTTCTACCGCGGTGCTCTTCCTCCCCGCCTCCCTCCTTTCCTCCCTCTTCCTTTCCCTCTGTCGCATCCGGGATCGCTGCTCTTTCTTTTCTCGGTGATATAATCGCGATATAAAGTACTCATTATTCGTGTATTCATGAGTCAATCTCGCGACTCGCTACTTTAACTCGCTCTCGTCCTCGATATCTCTTTTTCCTTTTTTTATCGCGTTTCGCCAGCCGCGGAGAGATAATAGACGTCTGTCGGCGATGGCGGGAGGGGTCAGGGTGTGCCTGATCCGTGCGGGTTCGACTTAGGCTGATTCCATAATCATAATCGATGGGAACGCACCTCCCGCCGAACGACTCGTTGACGTCCGTGGTATTCGCGTGGAGAACGCGTCTGTGGGAAAACAGCGTGGATCAAGTTTTGCAAGCACTCCTCCCGCGCGTTTCGACCCAGCCGTCCCTCCCCCTCCGCATCCGCGCCGTTCATGTGCGAGTGCATCGCGTAATAACCAATCGATGATCTACGGTTTCCGGATGCGCCCGGGCGCGCGTCCTATATCACGCCGCGAATGGAAAGTCGAGGGTGGTCCGAGGAAACGTTTCTGCGACTCGCGCGCGACTCTAGAAACGAGTTTCGCGTCCGCCGCCGCGCCTCTCCTTGTCTGTCTCTCTATCGCTCGTTCTCTCTCTCTCTCTCCCTCCCTCTCTCTCTCTCTCTCTCTCTCTCTCTCTCTCTCTCTCTCTCTCTCTCGCCCCGGTTCTCGCTGTCTCTCTTTTTTTCCTCCTCTCGTTCCATCTCCCGGTACTCGCTACACGCCTTTATGAGACACTCTCACGCCGTCTAACCGGTGCCTACCGTTAATAGATCCGCTGCGAAATAGAGTCGCGTGTAGCGCGATGGTTTTCTTAAGGCGGCGCATTTTCATAAACGGTCGCATTACGCGCCGCGTTATCTGTCGCAAACGGCGCACCGACCGTGCGTCGTTGCAGTTTAGCTTTAGCTCTCGCACACGCACACGCGCACACACACACACACACACGCATATACTCACAGCGTCGTGGAAATCGATTTAGACTCTATGTATCGTGCGGTTCTCTCTTTCCCTCCTTCTCCACATAAGAAGTAGCACCTCGTCCTAAATAATTGTTTTCGCTCGACGCAACCTCATCGGCCGGCGCGTTCCAGTTTAGACGGTGGAAATATACGAGCGGCTGACTCACACCATGAAAACCCGCGGTAACTGCGCGGTACACCCGCCGATAGAATCGAAGGATACACGCCGAGGGGTATTATTGGACACGTGTGTAATTTTACGTCTCATTTGCCACGCGAAGGAGCGGCATCGAGCGATGGACGCGCTTCTAAGCGAGCGACAGGTCGAGCATGATGAATCGCTCCGCGATTAAATTCCCGCGGAATAAGTCCGCGTGGTAATAAATTATTGACAATCATAAATTCTCCGCGTCTCTCTCTCTCTCTCTCTCTCTCTTTCTCTCTGTTCGCCAAGAAGCTCGTGAAGATGGCGTCATTCGTCCGGGCCGACGAGCGCGTTCTCGCGAATTCACGTCGTCTCCCCCTGCCTTCCCTCTCGTTGATCAGTCATTCTTCCGCTTTGTCGCAGGAGCTGAAGATAAAAGCCGGCGCGGAGAAGCTGAGGGGAGTGGCGACCGATCGCAAGGCCCTCTCCGACGTAGCGACGATCGTGAAGAAGTCGAACAGCAAGCTGAACGAGCTCCAGGCCGAGCTGCAGCAGCTCGAGAGTCAAATTATACTGACACAGGGCCAGCCCCAATCGCCGCAGCAGAATCACTCCAACGGTCAAGGTAAGGCGATGCCGCGCATGGCTCGGATGCTATCTTCGCGTTCGCTGCGCGTAGCGTAGCATTGACCGAGCGTGAATCAAACGGAGCAGGGCTTTTAAAAGGCTTTTGTGCGACGCGAACGTCGCATCGCCATCGTAGGTCGAGCAACGTCGATCAGCACCCTGTCGTTCGCGAGCTCTATTCGACGTCGCGGACAATCGCGACGGCAATCCGAGCGGCAAGACGACTGTAAGTCCGGCTCACTCTTCGTGAGACTCGAAATCGGATTGCTCGATATCGGAGATCGAGAACTGCGGATCGAAAGTTGAAACTTGTTCGAGGCGAGGTAAGAAGAAGCCGGAAATCGAAAGAAGTTGACTCGTCCAACTCTAATCCCTGATCCGCAAACTTCGGTGTCTGATACCGAGGTCAGGCAGCGGAATTGAAGCCGGGAGCGCTGGGCGCCGCCGCCGCCAGGGGAATTCGAAAGGACCGCGAAGGGTTAAAGACGCTTGAACGTTCGCTGTGGGTCTCCGAAACAGGGTCGTTGACACGGACTTCAGAAGGGTTTCGAAGGAAACAAAGTGCAGAAAAACAATAAGAATCCGCTTCCCACGAGCGCGCGTATCCGGTGATCAGGGCGCAGTTGGCAGGCGTCGGACGCCGAGGAATTCTATCCAATTTCAGGAAAGCGCGCTCGCCGCGATACCGCGTTCTCGAGCGACAGGAAAGAAAAACGCGCGGCGGCTCGCTCGCGCTCGCGCGGTAATTATCGCCGTGGCTCTGCTGCTCATAGATTACGTATCGATACACCGTGGTAATAGCTAATGTTCCGGCACGCAGCTCCCTACCGCGCTAACGATCGTTCTGCGTTGTTAACGAGGAGGCACTTAATAACCCCACCCGCTAACGAGGCGTCGAGACGACGTCTTTGGTCTTTTATAAAGCTCGCCCGAGCATGCCGACGACGACGACGACGACGACGTCGACGTCGCCACCGCCAGCGCCTCACGTCGCTATTAGCGTTGACAAATCGAGCGTATCTCGTCGACGTCGAAGTCTCTGACTCATCGATCGATATATCACACCCGCGATACGTTAGATGCGAACCCAAATACTCCTCAACGTTACAAAGAGGGGACGGTCAATGGGATAAATATAGCGAGTTGCGTATATTAATACCGTTCGTCGTCGATCGATCGACCGAACGAACGGTCAAGGCGTGACAAGAGTTAATAACACTTCGATATCAAAGTAACGACGTCGTCGCTCATTCTTGACGTTTTACGCGCCCGACGTCTGGAGAGAGCCTCTCAAAGCGAACCCTTGAAGCGCCCTTTGTGAAGTCCCTCTGAAGAGGGATTTCAGAATGAAAGTTTAATCGGGCCACGACTCCGCCGAGATTACTCTCCGTCCGTTCACGTGGATCTGTCTGCCGATAGTTTATCGCGCGAGAAATAGAGATAAGAGAAAAACACGGGAGAAAAAACGGGAAACACGGCGGCTTCGTGCGATTCTATCTGACCGGACTCGCACACGCGAGGCTTAAAACGGCGCTCAGTCGCACGCGCAGGCTGCTGCCGGTTCCACGACCAGCGACAAAGGAACGGCGATTATTGTCTGCAGGGCCCGCGTCTGCTCTTCGCCTCCAAATGCCCCCCTCCCATAAATTAGGAACGATTAACGGAATTCTTTGTAATCGGCCGGTCGTGACCCCCTCGGTATTGTGTCGCGTTTCGCGCCGGACCGTCGCGCGATGCAGATTCGATCGGCGGCGTGATCTCGCATCTTTGACGTTTCGTCGCGTCGACGAGAGAGAGAGAGAGACACGCGAAGGCTACCTAACGAGGTTATTCGAAGGCCTCTTGGAGGCTCCTCGGAGACCCGGTCGAGAGAGAAATTGCGTTCGCGCGTCAGCTCGTCGCGATTACTCCTTAACGGGCGAGCTTCCACGCGATCATCCCGCGCGTCATCATCAATTGGCTAATCTAGCCTGTGGCTCTCGGAGGAAAAACGTCGTCCATCTCTCTCTCTCTCTCTCTCTCTCTCTCTCTCTCTCTCTCGGGCGAGAGCGTCTTTCCGTTGCGTTAACACCGAGCAGCTCGTCGTCGTCGTCGTCGTGGCTGCTCGATGTCTCGTCAGCCTCTCTGTACGCACGGAGAAACTACACAGACTTGCACCCGCTTTGAATTGACGGTAAGTGGCAGCGGCTATTTATACCGCGGGCTCCGATGATCTATCCGTTCCTCCAGTTAAGTCAGTCATCATCGCACGGTCCTCGGGTTCTCTAGCGCATTGCCTCGGGGGTGGTGTCTCATTCAGTCTCCTTCGTGCAGGCCGCGTACGCGGCCCCGAGACCGCCATTTATCGACGCTAGTCATCGAAAAATCGAGAAATATCAGCTCGAGCTCCGCTGCGTTCTTCGTCTCAGGAGACGAGCTCCCGAGAGCGAGATCGCCGATTGTTGCCGTGCGCGGCACGAGAGAGTCGCGATCTTCGCGTTCAGCCGAAACGATCGAGATCGAGAGAAAGTCGAGCGGCTCGCGCGCGCGCGCTCCTATTTCCTTTCTTCGGATCTCTCGCGAGGATGGCGAGAAGGTGCAACGCGCAGGCACTGACTGCTCCTTCACTTTCCAGTCCTGCCGAGAGACGAGGCGAGGCGGGAAATGACGCGTGTCATATTGTGCGTAATAACGCGTACGACGGCGAAAACTCTGCGTGTATCGAAGAGACGCGGCGCGATCGAGAGTGCACATTATGAGAGAGAGGAGAGACGATCGAATCGCTCGCTCGCTCGCTCGTTCGTTCGCTCGCTCGCTCGTTCGTTCGCTCGCTCGCTCGCTCGCTCGCTCGTTCGTTTGCGAAGGTACCGTTACACGTGCGTACGTAGCCCCGAAGCTCGCTCTCCCAGCTCCTCTCGACCACCTCGTGCTTCTCGCCGTGGATCGAGATCGCGTTACGGCCTGGACCGAGCCGAACCGAAGCCACGATTTCGCATTCCATCGCCGGCGCTCACGGGGGAAACCCTCTCGATCCTCCTCCCTCTTCCCTCCCTCCCTCTCACTGTGTCTCTCTCTCACTCTCTCTCTCTCTCTCTCTCTTTCCTGCTCGACCGCCCGGGCCTGATCTCCGCGGAGACTACCTGTCGGGACCCTCTCGAACCCAATTTCGGATACGTATAGTGGTGCGTCGGAGAGGGAACTTTCGGGCGATCCTCGGTGCCGGAGATCCTCTCGCAGGATGAGATTTTTTACGACGGCGATTTTTCGAGGCCCTAAAATATACACGCGCTGAGTTCGAGCCGTGAATCGTGTGCCGTTTGACCGTTGAAATATCGCGCGTACAATTTCGGGAACTTCCGCGCGAAAAGAGAGAAACACATCGGCGCTATGGACATTGATCCCTTTTTTGTCTGAAGCACAGGTATAAATCCGCACGTGTGTGTATGTGTGCGTGTGCGTGCGTGCGCGCGCGCGCGAAAGAACCAAGCGAGTCGCGACGCGATTCGCCGAGTAGGACAAGATCTGTCGCGTATGCTCCATTTGGACATAATTTATCGTACACTCGGCCCGGCCTCGGTTGCTGTCTCGCGCAGTTGGCGCGGATTATCGCGTGTATTCACTCGCGCGGGGAAAGCCCCGAGATGAATCACAGCCGGGCGCGCGATACGTGCCGTCCGTAAAATTCCGCTAGATTTTACGAGGCGAATCGATCGCGCGCGGGCTTTATTGTCCGGGCGCGCGATACCGCACGAATTTATGAAGTGCAGTTTATCGAATGCGAGCGAGCGAGCGAGCGAACGGGCTCGCGTTCGCAACATAGTAACGGTACCGGCCGAGCATTTACGAGTTAATAAATTTTAAGTGGCCACGTATAGTTCGTAACTAAATAAGTCACTTGGGTCATGGCGTTCAAGCGCGGGAAACGTATGTCCTAACCGGACGTTTTTGCAATGCTCGCGATTGAGATATCGGCAGTTCGCGAGGGACAACATTCTCGTCTGTAACCGTCGCTCTCGTAACTCGATGACGTAACAACGACGCGATAATCGATCGCCGGCTATGTACACGTACCTCTCTTTAAATTCCTTGGAGTGAGATCTCACTCCAGACGGCTGGAAATTCGCTCGAAAACGTTGCCGAAAGTAGCGCAGATACCGTCGCAACTTCGACTTTGAGCGGAGTCCTTTGCGCCTTCGTAATCACTCGAATTCGATTCGTTATCATAGATATCATTATTATAATGCGTTTTACACCATTTTCTTGTGCGAAATATACGAAAGAAGTGGTTGTGACTCGGAAGTTCGGCAGGACTTTTGACGCGATATTTTGCGTCTCGCAATTAAAGGATCTTCGGATAGGGAGTTGTTAAAACAATCGAGTAACGTTCTTTCAGTTTCCACTAACTGAGAGTTGAGACGCGAATGCAAGGGATTGATTCATAAGAGTGAATATTCCAATATTCCAATGGGTTCGAGTAGATTGTCCCGCTGGCGGTGCAGCATGTCGGATTCGCTCTTCAATATCGATTGAATATCTTCAGGCGACGGTTCAGAGGAGTTCCCTCCGCACTGAATGATGAAAAGTCATGCAAACCAAAGTGACTCGGCTGTCGCTCTGCTCCTCGAGTGAGATTTCACTCGAGGGAATTTCGAGGGCATATTTAATTTGTCAGAGCGCTTCAAACCGAATGCCCATCCCGCATGCGGCAGGCCCGATATGCACGACGCAGACCTAATAATGTAACTTCGTACGTTCCGTAACGTGAGGTCTGCCCCTCCGGATGCACGCCGTAATGCCGCACTGCGCTCGGCAGTGTAGCGCATCGCGCTTCCGTATAACTGGAGCGACGAACGCGTCGCGGCCTCAGCCATCAGGCTTTATCAACGCTCATCAAACTTCTCGATCGAGGACGTCGTCGCCGGTGCGCTCGGGTCGTCGGCGCACGCGCATTTTTCCCGAGGAATTTTGGCTGATTTTCAGGACTCACTTCACGGGGATGATTCCGAGTGATTTTCGGAT